CCCCCCCCCCCCCCAAAAATAAAAACCAGTTTGGATCTCAGATAAAATCTGAATCTCAAATATTTTTTGCTTAGATAAAGATGTTCCAGGATTGCTAGCTATATTGCTTAGAACTTCATGAAATATTTATTGTAACCTTAACTCTGAGTTGCTAGTTTGTTCTTCTCTTGAAGATGCAACATTGGAATTTGAAATAGTGCTTTGAAGTTGCTTCTTTTGATCTTCTTTTGCAGAAGATTCGATTATATAAGCCTGAATAGGCCAGTTGAGGAAAAAGTATTCAGACAAATGTCACGTTAGTCATTGTTGATAGTATTCAGACAAATGTCATGTTGAGTCCTGAGGGGAACAACTGGTAAACAGGACATAATTTATTTCCTGGTGCTAGAGCAAATAAACAAGAGTTCTATCAAAATAGCTCAGATTGTTTAAATATGTGACACGCTTTTCAGAGGTTTTTCCTTTAGTATTTGCATATGACGTTAGAATTTCTTTTGAAATCTGGATAAGCAATGGTACAAATGCTTCTGAACTTGAGCAGAACAAATTATGTTTTAAGAAAAGCAAGGGTAGTTTCTAAATTCCCTTCCTTGAATTCAGACCAGCACTTACAGAAACTCTACAAACATTCAGAAAATTAAGCGTCTGATGTCGTTTTTCTAAGTACATATTTTTTTATGCAGTGACCTGGTGTGGTGGTTTAGGCCCTGCCGGGACCCAAGACTATGCCGCCGTTGTCTCTCCCCCACCCTTGGACTGAACGGGGCAGGGAGTGTGATACAAACCCCGGGCTTGAGATAAGGAAAAAATTAATACAACACTGTAACAAATAATAAACCGAGCAACAACAATGGCAATTACAATAACAATAAACAGTAATAACAATCAACAGGACAATAGATATACAGAGATATATCGCAATGATACAGCAGAGAAGGGTAACGATGATGAACAAAAGCCATCCCTGCTCGTCCCTGCTCTTCCTGCGCTTGTGCGCCCGGACCTGATGTCAGCATGGTATTGAATAACCCAGCTAGAGCTCCCTCCCCACTGCTGGGGAAAATTAACCCTATCCTATCTGAACCAGGACACCTGGCTTTATTGGTATTTTAGCTGGAAGGAGCTATTTGAGGTTTGTCTTTTAATAACCAGGGGGGTTAACAAGGGGAGTAGCACACATCTGGAAGTCTCGTCCATTGACTTCACTGGGTGACTCAAGGCATATGGGAGCCCTTTGCCATCCTAACCAGCAAAAGCGAAAACCACCTTGTGATTTCAGTTATTTTGATTTGCATAGATAGTCAAAAGGCTATCTACATTCATTTAGAACCAATAAGAACCACAAAGAATAGTATTTTGGTATTGGTTTTCCAATTTCCATGAAATGAATTAAAGCCCTAATTTTAAAAAAAAAATGTATTAAGCCACAGAGAGTTTCCCAGCAGCTGCATTAACTTAGTAGAGAAATTAAATCAAAATTGCTGTGGTGTTGGTGCTGCTGTGCTGAGGGCACACACGGGTCTTAGATACGTTTGTAAAAAGAAAACAGCATATCTGTTATCAGAGGAACCATGGGTTATTCTGAAGTTGATTCTTACTCAAGGAGAAACTAAGCTTCTGAAGTTTCAGATAGCACTGTGATTATTGGATACGTGGCTCTTAATAAGCAAGTATTTGCCATCATACTGCTAAAATGTTTTACGTGCTGTTTTAAGTATACTAAACACTACAGCATGGTTAATTTTACAGCATGATAAATACTTAAAATATACCTCCTTACTTGTACATCAAATGCAAATTCAGGTGTTGAAAAAAACATCTAATTTACTGTGAAATACAGTCCTCCTTAACAGAAGAAAAAAAAAAATGCAGCAGAATCAAATAATAAACCCCATGATCTTTGCTGCAGTATTTTCAGGTAAAAGTAGGTGGCAAATTTGATGAAATGGATAGACAAATACTGTAGGTACACAACAGGATATTTTCAGAGGTAATGTGAGAAAAAGTAAAACACAACTTGTTGACAAAATTATTAGTTGTTTACAGTAGTTTTGCTTGTTCGACAGACTTTTAAAATATAAAACGAATAATAATATTTTACATTTTTATATGTATAGGGACTTTTCTTTCAAAAACCTTCCTAAAATGCAGTGTCATTTTTACATGCACGAATAGGACTGTCCCCAAAATGCTATCAGTAGGTAGCAGCAGAGCAGTTGAGAATGAAAACTAAAAATTCACTGTGTTAAGAGAGAGGAAGACAGCCGTTCAGTATGACTACCGGAACAAGAGAGGAATGTGTACAAATTCCCAACTTGTCTTCAAATGCATCATTTGGAGCCAGGTATAAAATTCTACATTGTTCCATGTAGATGTGTCCTTTGGCAGAGGCAAAGGTTTTAACCTTATGATTAGAAGTGCTTATATTTGCATAATAAACGTATAAGCATTCAATTCAGATGGGTTATATCCTTTTATTTAGATATTTTAGAGCACATGTTTTAAGATACAAAAATTAGGCATTTTCTCACAGGACAGGCAAGGTTTAATTGGGAAGCCATACACTCAGTGACTACAGAAACTCTCTCCTTGCACATTACTGCAACCTGGTCATTAGTTTCAGACTCATAAGAAAAATACCTCCTTATATCGAACTGTATGTTCAAAAGTCAGGTCATTACTTGCCATATTTTCAGGTTCCTATTTTGTTTTGCTAAGCATATAGGATACACATTTCATTTTTTTCTACCAGATGTCAAATCCATGTTCTTCCTTGCCCAGCAAATTAAAGTTAAAAAAGAGGTGTGATTTCCAGAGAGGGATTAGAGCTCACACCTCTAACATGGAGAAGTTCATACCATTACCAAATCTTCTTCTTTCAGTTTTGTTTTATTTTGCTTTAAGTTTGAAATCTGGGCTGTCACTGAAACTGCACCTTTTGTATTTTGTGTATAGATGAGATCTGTGGGTTGTCTTCTAGCAGAGGAGCTCATAGAAGACACCAAAAGAGTTGTGAACTCCCTCTACAACAAGGTTCAGACTGAACTTTGTATTTTCCTCTGTGAATAAACAGTGCCATTGAACTTAGAAAAGATTTTCATTCTCCATAGGGCAAAACTGATTGACTTACAAAAAAAAAAACCCAAAAAACACAACAAAACAAAAACAAAAACTTTATTGTACTATTATTGGATAAATAACTTGCTTAATGGCTATGTTCATGGAGGACTTGCAGAGAAAAACAAGCCTGGATAACAGCAAATGGACTATTATGTAACATAACACTTTTTAAACAATGGGAGTTTTAACTTTTGTTTTAAAATTATCATTATCATACATTATAAAGGGGGAAAAGGATCTTTACACTTGCAGTGACATCATTTATCAAAAAGCAAGTCACAAAGATAGTAATATAATCAAAGGCAAAATATCCACTGAATCAGTTAAGTTAAAACTGATAGTAGATGCTTATTTGTGCTCTTTTGGAGGAAGAGAGCAAAGGCACATGATGTATATCTTCCATCATGTCCACGTTTATGAATTTTTTGAGACAGGTGGCAAAGACATGGCATCTGGAGGCTATGACAACTGCAGTGTAATGCATTTTACTACTCATTTGTGAAGATCATAATAAGCTCCTGCAGGATCGTTGCCATAGGTCCCTTAATGTCCATTCTGTGGCAGATGAATACCTCCAAAAATGGCAGTTGTGATACTACTGGTTAGTCTTTGGAGACACTTTTCAAAGGAACTGTATGAAGCCTTCTGAGTGCTGAAATCCCATGAGTGGAAAGCACTCACCAATACCTTTGTTCGCAGAGTGTTTTTGATGTGGCTGTGTTGATTTTCTGTCTGAATCTTTTTGACTCGGTTGTATGTCTGATGGTAAGAATTTTCAAATTCCAGATGATTCGCTTCTGAAGGCTAGGATACGATTGAAGTAAATCTCTTGGAGACAGCAGAAAGTCATGCAAATAGTCAGTATAGTTAAGGCAAATAGTTGACAGGAATGATGATAAAGCTTCATGAATGGCTGTTTCCATTCATTGACCTTCTCTGTTTGCTAATACTACTTGGGAAGCAGCGTGGCTGAACAAATGTCACCTGAGCTGTGTTTGTAGATCCGTTCATTTTGGTTATCAGCTATACTACTTGTATTGTCCTATGTCAAATGTTACTGTTTCAGTTTCCTGATATTTTCAGCTGAGGCGGGGGAAAGAAGGAAGAGAGTAACCATGGTCCCCTTAGGGTTTTATGAAATAATTAATGTTTGTATGGAGAACGTTTACTCTCCAGATAGTAAAGTGTCAAAACCTTGGTCATGTAAACAAGTTACAAGAACAAAAATAAGGTTTGGAGATGCTGTTAAGGGATGAACCAAGTGAATGTTTGCAAAAACTGATTAGGAAGTACTGAAGTGCTAAAAAGTATGGGCTGAGCAGATCTTTTGGGTAATTGTTGGTGTAGTTGACTCTGTGTGAAGTGACTTTGACCTGAGCCGCTGTTTCCTTTGGCGCTTAATTCCACATTCAGCTATGCTGCTCATTGTTAGGAAAAGTTCTGTGATACTTGTTTGAAACCTCCTTTGCTTGGTTTCATTTGGCTGGCACTAACTAACTACCCATCTCTCATTTGCTCTCTCACATGGGTGCCATACATACTTAATGAGAGACCTCTACCCTGTCCAAAAGCATTTATTGCATCCAAACATCAAAGACACTATTTAAGGTAGATAAGCAAGTCTCTTTTACTTCCCTTTTGTGGAATCTGATGCAGTTTCACTTGGCCAGATTCAAAAAAAAAAAAAAAAAAAAAAAGTATGAGCCAAAGACCCTTGAAGTCTCATGGTTGCTACTGGAACACCCTGTGCTGAATAGAATACAGCTCTACATGTATATAAAAGTATCCATACATAT